CGATATCCCACATCAAATTTGATGTGGGAAATTGCACGCATGAATCGTTTGCCCAGGCCCTAATTCGAAAAAAAAGAAATCGAGTATGGGACGCCAATTAAATTAGGTATGGCGCGCACTAAGTGCAATAAAGAGAGAGTAACCTAAAATTAGGGCCTGGAACCCAGGCTACGCGAAACCCTGAGAGAGTCGGACCTCTTGCAGTTCCCGCTTTATCTTTGACTTGTATGTACCCAAGTCAATTAAACAGAAGGACTCACATCTCGGTACATTAAAGGTTATGGCTATGTTCATGGAGGTATTATTGAGGAGAGCACTCGAAAAAGCTACGCGCACGCAGCGCTATGCAAATGAACCAAGATCAAAGCTGCCGCAGGCGCGAAGAAGAACGTTTGCACGATGCCCTTGAAGTCCCATGTGTTCCCCGCCATCATATTTTCAGCAGGCATAGTTTACCAAAAAATTGAACATGGCGAAATTGAGAGCACCTTCTTTTCTCGATGCGCACTACTTACAGTCAATCACTATGGCTGCGCAATCGTTTCCATTTTGAAGCTGTTACATTTATCTCTCATAATATTTTCCACCAGAAAAAGTTTCTAATTTATGGAACATTTACATGACTTTTAAAAGTATAGTATATTTCAACTTCAATTTCCATAAATTGGCCAAAATTCGCTAATTCTAATTTTAACAGATATTAATTAATAAATGATTGAGGATTATAATAATCTCATTTCTCAAGTCATTTTAGGGTTAACGAGGGTGAACTATTCGAAAAATCAATCCAAAAATCTGAGTATTTTTCAGTTTTACGCTGACTTAGCTTTATAGTCGAACCAATCAATCTTTAGACAAAATTATAATGAACACAGAAGTAATTTTAACATAAATATTTTACGGAATCTGTTCCTGAAATATACAAATAATAACATACCAAAAGTCCGAAAAAATCTAATCAGGGGAACATTGTTCATTATAAAGATATTTAATAGGTTAAAATCAAACGCTATATTGCACAACTGCTCTGCTGGAAGCATATAAATGCATGTCGTTGCCAAGTTGTTTCTAACGAAAAAATGTGAATTATAGGGTAATACGCCCGCGCGCGATCCAAAGGCGGGGAACACAAAGGGATCTGTTGCTGAGTGATCTCCTTCTACCTCCATGCTATGTTCAGACACAACGACTTACGCTAGCGTATCGTTAATCGAGTGGTGTGAACTTGGGCGCGGCGTAGCGAACGCCAGTGTACGGTAGCTCTTGTGTGTATTGTATTATACAAATACAGCATTTGAGGCGAAGTAGTGAATTATATTATATGCATAATAGTATAATATCGCGCAATCACTGGCGTACGGTAATCCAGCAACATACCCCAGATTAGCGCACGCCACTGATTTACGACAGTCACGCATCGGTGATTTTGAATTCCGCCAGAATTTGACAAATACAAATAAGCCTAGATGTAAAATGCGCGAATTTACGAATACGAATATTTCGCGCGAATACTTACACTAGCGTTCATTATTGCCCAGTCTGGGCATCTTGCTAGTTACGCCATGGATTTACCCACGCGCGTGTTAGTTGCCTTGATAATCGCGCGTCGTGCGGGGAATGCACAAAGGCCTAATGATATTTTGCACTAACATTACACTGAAATATTCTTTTCAACATTAATTTTACCGATATTGTGGTGTATTGTAGTTCATGAGACTCACTTCGCAGAAAAAAATAAATAAATATTCGGTACCTACTCAAATGTTATTTTTGTGCACCTTAGTCCAACATTATCAAAATGACAGTTTAATGTTACATAAAAACATGAAATTTTATAAAATTCGTACATTTTAAATTGCTATAACTTTTCATTTTCTTGGTCAATTTTCACAAATCAAATTGCAGTTTATAGAAGCATTTAACAAGCTCGCGGTCAAAAGAAATCAGATGTAAAATACGTTGCGAAGTACCCAAAATTAATAAAAGAGTAACTAACACCATAAAACGTATGGCACGCATAGACTGATAATTGACGGCTGTACTCGCGACTAGTATCGGATTGTCGATGCCACAGTATCAAAGGACTGCACGCACGCGCTATGTTCGAGAGAGTGGAGATGTGCGTCCTTCTGTTGGATTACCTTGATCTCTACCTTGCGATATATTTGTATTTTACCTTATGCTCTTTGATTTTACCTACTAATGAAAATTGATGCCCAAAACTGTTTGTAGCTATAACATAACCATACTTCTGTTTATCTGATGCATTCGCTACATTTCGTAGCTGTACCCGACGAGATCGAGGTTCTCCGAATTGCACCATTCGTCAAATTTGAACCACTTTCTTATATTTATTTTGGTACTTTCTATTTTTATCATCAGATTTATCTCAGATGGAGAATGCAACTTATCCAGATTGTGGTAATTATTATTTTTTGTTTCGTTGTTAAAACTAATTCAATATAAAGCTCAAATATATAATGAAATGTAGTAGTAAACATAATTATTTCGACGTGTCACACTCATCGTCGGCTTACCTAATGTTTGTCTGACCTGTTATTAAATATACCGGTAGTAGCATAAGCAAAACGCCTGATAGTAGGAGGTTTCGCATGCGAATGCATACGGTTAGGTTGACTAATACGTCTTTTTGACGTCATACGCAAGTTGCTATCACTCACTATAATACACGTAAGTGGAAAACGTGTAGGAACTTCGGGATGATCTTTGGTTATTATTATTATTATTATTATTATTATTATTATTATTATTATCATTATTATTATTTTTACAGTATTATTATTATTGTTGCGCATATCTAAAACTCTATGCGCTTAACAATTCAAAATTAATCATTATTTTATCATTTAATTGTTAATTAATAAAACTTTTATAATTCAAAGAATTGTGGAAATACAATGTGTGATGGAAAGCAACGAAAGGTCTCAAAGGGTCAACCATAGCGCGCCATGCAGACGGTTTAAAATTGCTCTCCATCCTCCCACAATGCATTTCTAAAGGACATTCCACTTCACTATATCGCGAAGCAACTCTTCTTCTATTATCTTTGGTGGCAGTTTGAACGGATTGTCACATTTTCTTTTTCCCGTGGGTCGTGGCCTTGCATTCTCTATAGACTTGTGTCAGCCGGCCAGCGACCAGACTTTAGAAATCAATTGACCTCTGTGTCATTGGAAGTTCATACGTTTTTATTATTCTTGTAACGAGCAATCAAATTTTTTATTTATTTAACATTATTATTTTATTTTATATCTTTTTTATCATTTTCATAATTTATTTAAAAATACTTCCATATAATATGTAAAAATTGGTGAGAAACAAAATACTGTTGTATTTATTGTACTTCTTATATTTAAAGGGGTTTTTTTTTTGTTTTTCTTGTGCAGTGGCATGTCCGTTTGGTTGGTTGCGCAATGAAGGGTCATGCTATTACTTTCACCCTGGTCCGGAAACCTTTGATAATGGACAAAGAATTTGCAGAGAACTTGATTCCGGGTTGGTCGTAATTAATTCTGCAGAAGAGCATGAATTGGTGCATTCTCAAATGGGCACTAATATCTTTTTCGGCTTACATGATCGAAATATCGAGGGGTTTTTTGAATGGACAATTGAACGTAGCCGGTGGAGTGACTACCAACGTGAGTTCTAATCTTTTTTTTATACTTGATGGTGCCAATGGATCAGAAAATAGTCCGAATAGAAAAAAAATACATTAAGAACAAAATGAATACATTGAAGATGAAAAAGTGAGCATGTTGTGCCTAAAGACCAAGCATACGCTCCTATTAGGCATAGCTGGCCCCTATATGAAAGCCACAGGATTTGTGGTGACTCGTGTGATTTGGATGTTATACAAGAGAATAGAGTAAACGAAATCATGAATTATGATTTTCAAAAAGAAACGGTAATTTGAAGGGTGTGGTTTAAATTTTAAATACTTTTTTCTTCAAATGAAGTAATTATTGGAGTAACGGTACATTCAATCTTTATATCAGAAATCCTACCGAACATCTACAAACATAAGGCGTTATTAATGAGTTTGCTTTTTCTGATCTCTCAAATTTTTGCGACTTTTGTGTTTTAATTGTTTATAAATATATATTTTTTAAATAATAAATTGTTTCTCTTGAACTTTTATTTTGTTTGCCTGTAGGTTAATATGCATGGATATAACCACAATAATAAATAGTGCAGTCACTTCTTAGAGTGTATGCCTCCCCACTGTATCTGGATATCAAACAATATGCAGGCAGTCATGGGCCATTCCATTATTTTATTTTATGCTCAATTGTAAAGTACAAGGAATAAATTTGTGACTTTTGCCTTGTCCTTTGACCTTTTCTTCCCAAAAGTTAATAATCTCTAAAGGCACATTTAATCTTTGGGTCGGAAATCCTACCGAACCGACCATAAAATGGGATCAGTACGTAAGAATAGGGACGCTGGCGTTCAGCGCATTGGAAACGCGGCCGGTTACAAATTTATGCTGGGATCCGGATGTGTGACATGGGAAGCCTCCCAATGGACCTATCCGCTAAGCCCCATCCCTTGGACATTGTTGCTAAGGTCCCACAAAACGACAGTAAAACAAAAACATGCACAAACACATGCGCTTGTGAGACAGCACATGTTATGGGGCGCCAAACGACACACTACCTATTCTGTCACACAAAACCATGTTTGTAAGGGACAAATCATGTTTTGTAATATACAAAAGTTATTCTGTCTTTACAAAACATGTTTTGTCGAGACAAACATGGTTTTGTCATTTACAAAACGTGTTTTGTCCTGACAAAACATGTTTTGTCGAGACAAACATGGTTTTGTCATTTACAAAACATGTTTTGTCTCGACAAACATGGTTTTGTCATTTACAAAACATGTTTTGTTTCGACAAACATGGTTTTGACATTTACAAAACATGTTTTGTCGAAACAAATATGGTTTTGTCATTTACAAATAACGTTTTGTCAAGACAAAACATGTTTTGTCGAGACAAAACATATTTTGTAAATGACAAAACCATGTTTGTCGAGACAAAACATGTTTTGTAAATGACAAAACCATGTTTGTCTCGACAAAACATGTTTTGTAAATGACAAAACCATGTTTGTCTCGAGAAAACATGTTTTGTAAATGACAAAACCATGTTTGTCTCGAGAAAACATGTTTTGTAAATAACAAAACCATGTTTGTCTCGACAAAACATGTTTTGTCATGACAAAACATGTTTTGTAAATGACAAAACCATGTTTTGTCTCGACAAAACATGTTTTGTAAATGACAAAACCATGTTTTGTCTCGACAAAACATGTTTTGTAAATGACAAAACCATGTTTGTCGAGACAAAACATATTTTGTAAATGACAAAACCATGTTTGTCGAGACAAAACATTGTTTTGTCTTTTACAAAACATGTTTCGATGTTTATTTATGAGGAGGAGGAGTCAATTAAATAGATGATTGAGATGCTGCTGCTCCAAACAGTCGCTGTCGTGCGGTAGAAAAAGTTTAATATGTTTTACTTCCAAACCGGATTCAAAATGAAGATTCTCTAGAAATTATGGAATGAAATGGATTTGAAGTTACGTTATACCTGAAGTAAGAGATAAACTTGACAGTTCAAGGGAAGAAAATTGCTCATATCGAATAGGACGAGAGCCACTAGCCTTCAGTCAGTAGGAGAGCTAGGCCTAGCCAGATCATCCTTCAATATTGCGAGCGGACGTCGGCACAGCTAATGACATTTGCCTAAAAGATATGCCGGCCTCTGGCCATCTCACCCCAAAAAACGTAGATCTAGCGTAGGCCTAACTCATCCTAATTTGAACTTTATACAACCTTGCAATCGCTGTCACATCAACAATAAACGTTCTGCTGCACTATCTAGAATACGGGCTAATATTCATAATAGTGCTGCTAGGACTAACGATACATTTATTTACAGTAGATACTGACTTTAGTACTAGTAGGGCATGATCTAGGCCCTGGCTAAGCCTGCCAGCACCACTACCTGGTAACATAAGGACAGCACTTTCTGCACTATATGTCAATAGAGTTTTAAACTGTGGGCCTCAACACAGTGTAGGTTTGGTTAGAATCTAAAGATGTTCTGTCAAACTATTTTCAAAGTGCATAGATTAAGACTAAGATTAAGACTGGTTATGCCTAGGCTATAATACTAGTAATAGTATAATACAATATTTATGCTAGTGTGTATAATGACATCCTAGTACATGAAGTTGTGAAATGCTGCTGACTGCATATATTCCTGTTTTTCTTTCATTTATGTGAATGTACAGTAAAGTAGTAATAATTATGTATATTGATATGAAATGTAAAGCATCAGGCCTTTCAGTTTCAGCAATTCTAATAATCACAAGAAAGGATAGTCAGCATTATTATGAATCCTTTTCAATGATTACTATTGATTAGTACCTTGTTGCATGTACTGTAAGCAGTATATTTCCTTGTAGTTTAACAGGGAAAATATGACATATATTTTACTATATTATGGAAATATAATGAACCATATGTTCAGAAATCTATCAGGAATTTGTATTTTGTATTTTTATCATTTTTAACCATATCCTGAGTGATGACATAATTGAAAAATTGAATTAAATATTTAATTGCTTGTAAAGTTACATTTTGATATGTACTTCTCTACAACCAATTAATTGAAATAATAAACTTTAGATGATTGTGCATTGAGTGTATTATGTGTAACCATAATGATTTTAATCAATTAATTGTCCATAAAATAGTGTTCAGTATTCATGTCAAACTTTATACTTTCAAACCGAGTGTGTGATACTGTAAACAATTTTGTAATGGCAAAGTAAAATAAGAATAATGATTTGGATATTGTCAATTTCACTATTCTTTTTGATGCATGATGTTTTTTTTTTTACTGTTATTGTATAATAAAATATTTTATCTAACAGATATGTACTTTTAAGTCTTATAATATTTATTTATTTACTTTGTTATGTTACCATGACACTTCACTACCAAGCTGCAGTCTGGAAAATATATGAAATCTAGTACTGTGTTAAGTACTGTTAAGTTATGTCTGGTGATATTTAAAAAATCATATACTGTAGCTCATTCTTTTTTTAAGGTCAGCTAGCTCACTATTTCCATAAAAATTGAAGAAATTACAATATTTCATTTATAACTCATTCATTAGGTTTATTTTGACAAGTTTAAATTTTGCATATGTACAGTATTAAGAAGCCAAATATGGGTGCTACAGTTACAATTCGGTAGATATTACTATTCAAAATTTACTCCAGAACCAGAAATATCATATTTACACAAATAAATTGCACTTTTTCAGTTAGATTCATTTAATGTATGTTTACTTTTGTTAGCGCAAGTTTTTCCTATGTTTTTCCAAGCCACTTCACTACCCATACAAAGATGATGACATATGGTTGATTACATGTTCCCAAAATCCAAAAGTGCTGTTTTTGATAGGAGGAGCCAACTTTGACTGGTCATTGCAAAAAAAAAAAAACAAAAAAAAAAACAAAAAACGACTGAATTTGTTTTTTGAAGAACTTTTAATATAATATAGAAAACATATTCAGTTAATATATACTCTCAAAAAGTACAGTCTGAATGCAGAATGGAATCCATGAAGGAAGCCTTTTTTAAGTCACAGCTTGTGGCCCTTGCCATATAGTATGGCATAGTGACCAAAATATATATTGTAAGAGATTTAAATATTGACCAACATGGGCTTGGCCACCTATACCAAGCCTATTTCATTTCATTTCATTTAAGCTCATACTGGTCAGTATTCAGATTGCTGGCCTATATTTTGGTCGCTACACCATGCCATCACTATCTCAATCACACGTTTAATTGACTCCTCCCCCTCATGAATACGAAACCCTCATGAATATACGGAACATGTTTTGTGATTTACAAAACATGTTTTGTGAAAGACAAAACCATGTTGTCTGTACAAAATATGTTTTGTAAAAGACAAAACCATGTTTGTCTCGACAAAATACACACATGTTTGTCTGTACATGTTTGTACAGACAAACATGGTTTTGTCTTCACAAAACATGTTTTGTATAGACAAACATGTTTTTGTCTTTTACAAAACATGTTTTATACTGACAAATATGGTTTTGTCTAATACAAAACAAGTTTTGTACTGACAAACATGGTTTTGTCATTTACAAAACATGTTTTTTAAAGACAGAATAACTTTCGTATATAACAAAACATGATTTGTCCCTTACAAACATGGTTTTGTGTGACAGAACAGGTAGTGTGTCGTTTGGCGCCCCGTACGTGTGTTTGTAGTAGGCCCCTACACGTGCATATTTCCAGCTTTGTTCTGATTGGTCAGTTATGAAGTTTGATTGACACTCTTTAAAGGTCTGTTTCCAGGTTCCTGAGTTAAATTACTGTCAAGGCAGCGGGATGTTTTAATCTCGAATAATAACTGAAATGAAAACAAATATGGCTTTTCGTATAACTTAAGTAATTATTTTGCTTTTTATTTTGGCAGCTTGGTCATGGGGTGAGCCTAACAATTATGGCGGGAATGAAGATTGTGGACAATTATACTCGCATGCATATAATGATATACCCTGTACGTTTAGTTTGGGTATATGTTGTGAAAGAGGTACAGTACATTTCCAAACATGAGAGCCACTAAAATCTCCTTTCATTTCTTACTCAGTAATCACTCGTTTCACACTAAATAAATTCACGTTACTTACCATTCGGTTAGTGTTTGATACCCACCTATGGTATTTCGTACAAAAATTGCTTAATTTTGATGCAAATATATAAAGTGTTTGATTTTACTTTTTTTAACACAACAGTTAAAATGCTAAAAAGTAAATATGTGTGTTTATAGAAATTTCATGTGATAGTGTACTTCGTGGTAGACACATGAAGTTTTTATTTTTTTGTTTTACCTTTATGTAAATTCTGAAAATAATGTTTATTTCCATTAAACAAGAGTTATTGGAAATTATGAAAACAATTTAAAAAAAAGAGAGAATAAAGGTGGGCTACACCCATGAAAGACAAAAAGAAGTTAAGTTCTTGTCTTCTAATTCAGTGTCATGGGTTCAAATCCTGTAACAATGGGAGTTGTTCTGACGACTAAAAAAACAACTCCACCATATTTTTAAAGCATCCTTCATCCTATCATTGGCGAGTTACTTGCTGTTGGATGCAACAAAAAATATCAGTTGAATATATGTTTCTCCTTAAATTCCAGAACCTTACCTCATCAGCGACCCTGCGGATGTCTCTAATGTATATGGTAAGATTATATTCTTGCTGTTAATGTAAAATAATAATTTAAAACCAACAAGTCCAACTGGGGTGGCGCTAGCGAGGGGTCGGGGCGAGGCCCCCCCGTCGGGGAGAGCTGCCCCCACCCCGTCGGGGAGAAAAAGCACAATTCGTCGGGGAGAAAAAATATTATATGTGTTCTTTACATATTAGTAGACTTTAAAATCGATTAAATAAGCCTTTTAAACCACTAAATTGTCGAAATTTTCGGGGGCTTCGCCCCCAGGACCACTTTCAGAGCCTTTTAATCGAAGCTCGACCAGGCCCACTTTGATTTCGTCGGGGAAATCTGACACCTCGTCGGGGGCAACCCCCCCTCGTTGGGGACCTCAGCTCCCCCCGTCGGGCAAATCCTGGCGCCACCCCTGCGAAGTCCAATCATTTTAAGGATCCGAAGATCGAATGAATGACCTATGTTAATATACCAAATTTTGAATACTATTAAACATATAATGAAGCCTAGCAACCATCTACAAACATAAGACATTATGAACGAGTTTGCTTTTTCTGATCTCTGTAATTTTCTTTTCAACTTTTGTGGTTTAATTGTTTATAAATATATTTTGTTAATAATATACTGTTTCTCTTGACCTTTCTTTTCCTTTATGCTTGAGTGTAAGTTTCAGGAAAAATCGTGACCTTTATATTGTGCTTTGACCTTTTCTGTCCAAAAGTTAATCATATCTTTCTTAGATGATTTGTGTACCATTTCGCTAAATTTGATGATGATCCATTCTTGTATTTTTGTGTAAACTTGATAAAAGACAGACAGACAGGAGTGAATACATAACCTCCTTGGCGGAGGTAATAAGTTAAACTTCAATCAATCAATCATTAATTTTTCCACATTTCCCTTTTTCACAACAAATAATTTACAATTGGTGGAAAAGGAAAAACCATGGCAAGCAAAGTTTTCAACAGTGGGTCCATTTTTAAATAAATTAAATATATATTTATAACATGTAGAAAAGACAAATTAATAAATGAATATAAAAAGATATTAATAATAATAATAATTAAAACAATAATAATAGTAATAATAATAATAATAATAATAATAATAATAATAATAATAATAAACAAGTCCTATGCAGCGCTTTATACCAACAAATCCTCTGAGGTCTTTACATTATTTCTGACTAATGGTACTTTGTATGCTTATGTGCCGTTTTGTGAACAGGATTTTCATTGAGGACCATTCCCAGGCTCATTGTTATTTTGCTTAGATTAGATTACCACAGTCATTTGTGCAATTAAATTATTATATTTTCTTTTTTCCTATTTTAAAATAATTTACTTGCCGTTAATTTTCAGATTCTTATAAATTACTATATGTTACTTTGAATATTTTCAGATCGACCGTTGAATCTTGTTCAAATAATAAAAAGAGCAAGCATAAACGATTACAGAAAGGTACTAATAAAATGCTATTCTATTGGTGACCATGCTACAGAGAATATATTTCTTGGTAAGTCGGTGTCTTTAGTAAGATACAGCACTCAGGGAGACGAGGTTCTCCCATCTGCAACAACTGGAGAAAACTCTGATCTCCCTGATGACTTAAAAGCTACTACCGAAAGCTCATATATTAGGATTTATGAAATTCCAAAAACAACAGGAGTTGAGCGTTACGGAGCATTCTCATGTCGTTCGGAGGTCAATGGTCAAAACACAGTTATTCATGGCATCACCTATATGAATACTGGTAAATATATATTTTTATTTATCTTAATACCTACATGTAACTTTCATGTTTATGGTTCAATCTATAACTGCTCTACCCTTTCTGATGTTTAAACTGAAGGCTATTAATCAATAGTATTGTGGAAAGAACATTTTGAATCCTTTAGTTGTATTAGATTTTGTATCAAAGGTCTGTTTGTTTTGAAATATAGAGACCCTGAATGATCAAAATAAAACATTATTGAATTGCTAACGGAGTAATCAACTTTAAATGAGAATGTTTGCGTATGTTTTAACATTGTCGTGTTGTGTGACCTTAGCAACTATATACATGGGGCTGGGCTTACCGTAAAAGTCCTTTTCCGCTTATTTACATTAAAATAACAATCAGCAAGTTAATGGATCAATGCAAACATTATTATTGAAACTGTATTATTATTATTATTAAATCATTACAAATGTAATTCATAAAATTAATGATAAAATTCATAAAATCCATGATAAAATTCATAAAATCCATGATAAAATTCATAAAATTAATGATAAACTATAAAATTTATGATAAAATAAAAATCCATTTACAATATAAACACTGTTAACAAAAAGAAAATAACAGAGTATAACATCAAGAGCAACTCAGTTTAAGATTCAACTAAATGAAAAAACGAAAGCAGGTGATAATGTTTTAAGCTCGTCCGCAGTTGCTGTAGAAGGTGTCTATATACCACTTAAAAGCACAGTACTTTTAATGTTTTGTTACACTACGTAGTTAGCGCCTATCAGCACCCATATTTCTGTTTTTTGTTTTGTTTTTCTATACAGCAAACATTACGGTTGATGCAACTAAAAGAACTGTAGTAATTGGTTTGGGAGAAACAGTGACGCTGACTGTTGATGCAACAACAGCTGAAAATCTTCGTTGGAGACACAATAACAAATTTATGTATGGTAACTCAATGCGTAATGTGATGAGTCTTACTATTACGAATGCTCGTCGAGAAGATGAAGGTGTGTACGAGTGTTATTATCAAGGAGAACGTCATAGAGGAGCACATGCTTTCATGTATCTTTATGTTACAGGTATGTAGTACAGTATATATTGGTGGGCTGAGTCCTAAATAGTTACAGTTCAAGTTTACTGAACTAGGTGCGGTTAAGGCCACGAAGGACGCTCATATTACGACACCAAGGGTTGTTATTAATGACTTATTAACTACTACTGTGTAATAATGTTTTTTGTTTAGCGATAATTATTTTAATCATTTTACCTCAAGGTGCCCTGTACCCAAAAGGGATCCATGATTGATTAAACAGTTGTTCTGTCACGCCAAAATTGGTCCGGGCCAAAATCGGTCCCCTGGACCGATTTTGGTTGCCACTATTAGTCCGAGGGACGGATTGTGGCCGCTAAAATTTGTCCGGGGGACCGATTTTAGCTGCCAAAATCAGTCCTTGGATAATATTGGTCCGGCTAGGACCAATATTATCCAAGGACTGATTTTGGCGTAGCCTAAATCGTTCCGCCTACGCCTGCTACAGTGCTATCGAGTTTGGTTTCAACACAGCACAGTGGGTGCTTACTTATCGGTCCGCATAGAGAGAAAATCTTTTGGTGGGAAAATGAAAATTGAACGTCCAATCAAAAGAAGACAATGGCTGAAGTCCAATCTGAAGCCTATTTTGCGTACGTCGTCGTATATAAAGTACAGTACAGTATTTCGATTTCATTTGACAGAGGTTCGTTGCTCGTTGGGGTTAGTAGTGATGTGGAAGCATTTTACGGTCTTTTAAAGAATGTCAATAGAATTGGTAAAAGTAGTTTGGAGTTTACTTTTAATCATTTCACATTACCTCCTTGTATTCATTACTTTTTTTACTATTTTCGTTTTCTATTTATTTCATTTTTTTTATTGCATTTATTTTACGAAAACAATTACAGTATACGGTAAAAGGATAAAAACAGTCTGAAATGTTGGTCTCTAATTCCCCACAAGGGCCGGCAGCATAACTAAAAAGTAAAATAATTTACTGTAGAAGTGGAACGCCATACGATGTGAGGAATCGGAGAACAACAAAATACAAAGAAAAATGTTAGTTTCTTAATGAGGCATTTTTCGACGGACACGCTACACAATTGAATTGCATAGAGCCTTAATTCAGGGGTAGTCCCTGCGGAAGGAAAAACAACAAATCGGGGGAATAAATGTAAAGTAACTGAACTTTATTGTACATACGTTTTTAGATCATCGCAACACATCAGAATGATGGTGCGTTCAATAACATTTACAAAGGAAGTATAAAACATCAAGATAAGAAAAAAAATCTATCAAATACAATGACAAAAACAAAGGTATAGAAATTCTATATTTTTTAACGTTCATTCATTTTCATCTCAATAAAACCTTCTCATTGTTATTATTACTGTTATTAATTTAAATAGTATTATCTCGTGGTCTATTGTAAAATGAAATGAAATTAAACGAAAAAAAATTGTAAAGTTGTCAATTTTACAAGGTCTGTCAATCCCATTACAACAGTATACCATATTGGGAACGAGAACGTCCCGTCTGTTAAATCATACAAGTATCTCGGTGTAATACTTAGTTCTAATCTTTCTTGGAGCAAGCGCATTGATTATGTTATTTCTTGGGCCTCTAAGATTCTTGGACTTATTGCAAGAATTTCGGGTGACCCTAAGGGCAATCTTGCATATCGCAATTTGTATTTTGCTCTTTGCTGTCCCATAATTGGATACGCAGTGCCTGCTTGGCTTCCTTATAAAAAATGTCATATTTCAAGCCTTGAAAAAATTTAACGTCGGTTCACTAGAACGTACTTTGGTGGGTCCTGGAATGAACGACCTTCTTATCCTGACAAACTTCGGATATATGCTATTCCATCACTCCATGAACGTTTCATGATTCTTCATTTATCTTTTATCATTAATTGTCTCTACAAGAAAAATTGTGTTGATGTTACTAATATTCAAGTTAATTGCCGTCATGTTACCACACTTAAGTTTATTGAAAAGTTCGCTCGTACCGATGCTTACAAATTTCCCCCTTATATTCACTTTAGTAAACATTTTAATTCCCTCCCTGATGAAGTCAGATGCTACTTGCTTTTCTCGAGCAACTCCTTCATTAAACTTGCAAAAATATTTCTCAACGAAAATGTTGAGATTCATTAATTTCGTATGTGGTTGTTTGATACTGATTTTGCATCATGGTCACTTGATAATTATGAGATTCCTTGCAATATTATTTTATATTACATTCTTTTAATATTATATATTTCTAAATGATATCTATTTATCTTTTGTGTTGTTTTCTGTGTGTTAAGTGCTGCCTTGATAGTGGCACTTTTGTGTACTTTTGGTTGGCAGCACTCTTTGTTTTGTTTCTGTTTTTATTGTAATTTTGATTGTAATTTAAACCCGAAATAAAAAAATTAAAAAAAATGTATATATATATATATATATAT